CGTGCAGTGACGTAGCCCCCCAACTGTGCAGCGCCAGCGATATGTGGCCCCCCCAAACCATGCAACGCCAGTAACATGTGGCCCTCCAACAGTGCAGCAGCCCCTGGACTGTGCAGTGCCAGCTTCTATCACACAACCGCCCCCTCCCTCCTGTTTTTCCACAAGATTCACACAACTTTCTAATGGGATTCATGTGGACAAATGGGTGAATGCTGTGTGAAAACTTTTATAGTGTTATTACAAAATAAAATATGATTATTACAGTAAGATAATCAGATGATAACCCCCATAGGGATGTACGCCTTGGGAATCAGTCAAACAAACTTGGTAAAAATGGATAAGAGTTTATTAAATAACAATGCAAACACATAAGATTTACTATGAGTTGTGTGCACTACACATCCAACATGGAGCCTGCAGATTGTAGGAGAAAGCAGAGTGGAAGAGGGGCAAGCGCATTCGTTTTCTGTTACTTTTATACTCTTCATTCACAGGGTTGGGGAGGGACAAACCTCTGAGTGTAACTTAACTGCAGCCAAAAAAAATCTGGTCTTCTGCTCGGGCAGACAGGGCTGGGCTGTGTGTGGCAGAAGGGAGGAATTGGCAGGTAAAATAACTCATATACATACACAACACCTCAAATACAGGAGTTCTAGCACAGCACTGTGCTGGAACTCCTGTGACATGTGAGAGAGGAAGGCTGCTCTCCCCTCTCACTGTGCACAGCTTGTGCAAAGCAGGACTAAATGTAGAAAGTGCAACTTACCGCCCGGCGCCCAGGACTTCCCCACAAGGACACCACTGCCGCCCCTCTGCGCCCTGCCGCCCCGAGGCCGGGCCTCTGTGGCCTCGTGGGGAATCCGGCCCTGCATATATGTATTTCATCTTTGTGTTGAATTGTTTGCCTGCTGGAGTTTCAGCTCATCGATTTATTATTGTTATGATGGTGCTGCAGTATGTGCTCATCTGTATTCATACTGAGGGGAAGTTATCAAAATTGGAGCAGACAAAATCTGGAGAAGCTGTGTACAACAACCAATCTTTCATTTTCAAATCTTAACTGAACAAACTGAAGAGAGAAGCTGATTGGTTACTATGGGCAACTGCTCCAGATTTTGTCTGCTCCCGTTTGGATAAATTCCCCTCACTGTATATATACCAATGGTGGTGCCAACAGGAAAGGGTGATCACTGCAAAGTGGTTTGCCATGCAGTGCATCTTGCACAATACATACATAGTAAGTGGTATATATAGATGATCCCTGGCAGAACCACAGAGATCCTGTAAAACATTGTAGTAGACGCAGCTACTACAGTGCTGACAGCAATCTTCCAGGTCCAGTACAGCCGCTATGCTGATCGGGGTTACCGCTTTGTTAACCCCGATCCACACTCGGGAATACCAATGGAAACGCGCGGAAAAACGCCCCAAAGAAGCACCTGTACTTCTTTGGGCGCAGTGCGTTTTTCAGCGCGTTCCTACGCGATGAAATACGCCCAGGTGGGAACCATGCCCATAGGAAAGTATGGGATTTCACTTGCTGGGCGTTTTACAGCACGTAGATCAGCGCTGTAAAACGCCCAGGTGTGAACCAGGCCTTATTTTCAAACCTTAAGGTCTCGTTCACACCTAGGCGTATTGCATATGCGCAACCGTCGCACGTTTTTTTACCGCAATTCGCTGTAAAAAAGTCGCGCGACAAACGCGCGTTTCCGAACGGCTACTTGGCTGTATCCCAATGGAAACGCGCAACAAAACGGCCCAAAGTAGTACCTGTACCTTTTCAGGCGTGGGCCGTTTTGTAGCGCGTTAGGGACGGGCGGAAATACGCCTAGGTGGGAACGAGACCATTGAATACAATGGGATTTATATTTTTGAGCGTTTTGTAGAGCGTTCGTCGAGCGTAGAACGCGCTACAAAACGTTCAGGTGTGAACGAGGGCTAACTGAACAGAGAAGCTGATTGGTTGCCCTGGGCAACTGCTCCAGATTTTGTCTGCTCCATAGGAATGCTGTGTCCGGGTTTCAGGGCAGCTGAAACCCGGACACAAGATGTCAGGCAGACAGAGGCAACCAAAATGAAGATAGGGGCTACTGGCCCCCCATTGATAATGGTCTCGACTGTGATATTTACATATTAATGGGTGACGCTATTTAAATATGAATAAGCCGCCACTTATTCTCCCCAAAAACTTTCTGTGCATTGCTAGAGTGTTCGGGTTTCACTGGAAGAAAAGGTGGCAACCATACTGCTCCAGTTTTGATAAATTCCCCTCACAGAGTCCTTTGTTCAGCACAGCAGCCATTCAGCAAACGCCTAGTACTTTTATGGATGAATACTAGGTCTTCTCTGAGTGGATGAGGGTGGTGATGTCATAGCACATTATCCAATCAGAGAACACCTAGTATCCCTGTATACATAGTTACATTGTGCCAAGCTGGTCCAGTGTAAGAATATATCAAGTATTATAGACGGAGTTCAGCTTTAAAGGAGAACTATGGGGTCAGGGCTATTCCGCCCAGTTCTCCTCAGGGTCACGGGAGGACATAAACTAGCGTCCTCCCGTCACCCAAAGCTGAGTATATAACGAGCTACAGCTCGCGGTATACTGAGACCGCCGCAGCCGGAACGGATCCCGACATTACTGTCGAGATCCACCCAGCTGCGTGATTGACAGCTGGCTCTGCCTATGTAGAGGCAGAGCCAGCTGTACCCTCCCCCGTCCGTTCCTCCACTCAGAGCGGGGAGGGGGGAATCACTGCAGGGAGGAAAACTCACTGCAGTGAGTGACAGTCACGGCTCTCTGCAGGGACATGATCGAGAAGTGAGCGGGTATGTGTTCGCTCACTTCCCGATCTATTGAGTTTCATTGTCACACGTCAGCTCGAACTATGAGGATGAGTGATTTTCACTCACCTCATAGTTCTCCTTTAAGTGGATTTTTTGTGAGCTAAAATACAAATAAAATGAAATTAAGCTTTTTTTTGACAGCTAAATGGTAATTTCCTTAAAACAAAAGACACATAAACTGCCCGTTTAACCCCTCGACCCCTTTCCATCTTCTTTCCTTTCTTTGGTCCTTCTTTTCTGTGTTCTTTTCTACATTTCATTATTCTTTTATTCTTCTGATCATTAATCTGGATATACTATGTGCTAGTCCTGGTATGTTACAAGTCACATAGAAAGCTGAGATTGATGTCATTGTAATACTAGATCATTATGAAGCATGCATCTCTTACAATGCACCTGAGATCGGCATCTTGTCACCTGTAACCTGCTGGGCTTTGTGAAATCAGTCTGCCATAACAACATAGCGTGTATTTCCATCTAATGTCACGCTACCCCTGGAGCCC